AGTACTATCATTATTATTATCATCATCATCATCATCATCATCATCATCATCATCAGCAGCAGCAGCATCATCATCATCATCATCGTCATCATTATTATTATTATTATTGTTATTACTATTATTATCATTAGTCGTATTATTATCATTATTAGTATTATTATTATTATCATTATTAGTATTCTTATTGTTATTAGTATGATTGGTGTTGGTATCATTATTATTATTGTTAGTATTATTATTATTTTTAGTATTATTATTTATGATATTCTTAGTATGATTAGTATTAGTAGTAGTAGTATACTTATGTTTATTCTTACTATTAGTATTGTTATGATTGTTCGTCTTATTCTTCTTAGTATTATGATTAATATTCTTATTATTAGTCTTATTATTATTCTTAATATCATTATTATCAATATTATTAGTATTAATAATAATATTACGGTTGTTATTAGTATTATTATTATTCTTACTATGAGTATTCGTCTTCTTCTTCTTCCTACTCCTCCTCCTCCTCTTCCTCCTCCTCCTCCTCCTCCTCCTGGAGACCCCTTGTCGCCACGGACGGATCTGGCCGCTCCTTGGCGCGCAACCGGCTCTGCGGAGGGGGACGTCGTGCCAGGGAGGCCGAGGGAGACGTCGTGCCCCCAGCCAGGGGATGTCCCCTGCAGTCGCCCCCCCCGAAGGCGCCCAAAACGCCCCAAGAGATTTCGGCGAGTATACCAAAATCTCGTTGCCTGCTAGGGAGGGCGAGGGCCAATATGCTGCGGCACCTCCTGTGGTCGACCCCTTGCAGTATGGACCCAAAATGGCCACCGAGGCCCCCCCCCCCCGCTCCTCCGCTGCGGAGGGGCCCTCCGTGGCGCCAGGGCGGAGGAGCTGGCCCCCGCCGACGCCCAGAAAGGTGCGGTCGTCAGGGGCAGCGAGGGGGGCGGCTGGCTCAGGGGGGGGGGGAGCACCGACTCCCGAATCCCATCTCCGAGCAGAGCCTGGCTGGCCCAGACATCCAACGATAGGGCATGTTCCATGCGCGGCCCCAGGGGTGCAGAGGTCCAGGCCCCTTCCCTCCGGGCAGGCTCTCGCCCCGGGTCCACTCTTGGTGGCCCCAGGGCCCGACAGCGGGCCCTGGAAGCCCAAACCCCCAAAAATCGTGGAAAAGCGCGGGGAATCAAAACAGAAGGTAGTCGGATATCTGGAGGGTCACAGGCTCGGAGGTGACGATAGGGGCCAATAGCCCAGGGGGGTTCGATGCATATTTCCAGGGGCGCCTTCAGGAAGCTCCCGGAGGGATCCATACACGTCATATGTGTACTGCCCACCCCTGGACTGTTCGCCCTTACCGTCGCCTCCGACGGGCCTCCAATCCCCATCGGATTTCGAGGGTAGGATTCGGATTTCGCAACATGTCCGACGAATTCCGAACCCTACCCCCGCCGCCCATGGAGATGCCTGCATCGTTGATCGGCGAGGGTAGGGTTCGGATTTCGCCGCCGAGTTCCCCGTCGGTCCCCAGCGCGCCATTGATCTGCGGAGGGGCGGGGCCGCGGCGAGCCGCCGGGCCGCCCGGGGTGGGCGCCGAGGGCCGCGTCTTGCGCGGCGGGCGGCGCGGGGAGGGAGGGGAGGGGCAGTGAGGGGGAGGGGGGAAGAGGAGGGAAAGGAAAGCATCATGATCGCTCACTACGCACTCCTCATCTTTCTCCACCTCATCCTCGTTCTCCTCCTCCTCCTCCTCCTCCTCCTCCTTCTCCTCCTCCTGCTGCTCCTCCTCCTCCTCCTCCTCCTCCTCCTCCGCTTCCTCCTCCTCCTCCTTCTCCTCCTCCTGCTGCTCCTCCTGCTGCTGCTCTTCTCCCTCCTTCTCCTCCTCGCCTCCTCCTCCTCCTCCTCCTCCTCCTCCTCCTCCTCCTCCTCTCCTCCTCCTCTCCTCCTCCTCTCCTCCTCCTCTCCTCCTCTGCTGCTCCTCCTGCTGCTGCCCTCCTCCTCCCTCCTCCTCCTCCTCCTCCTCCTCCTCCTGTCTTCTTCTCCTCCTCCTCCTCCTCCTCCCCTCCTCCTCCTCCTCCTCCTCCTCCTCCTCCGCCTCCTCCTCCTCCTCCTTAGGAGACCCTCGAAACATAGACTCTCGAAAATCAGGGCGGATCTATTGGATCAGTACCGCGAAGCGGATCCAGCGCAGATCCAAGAAGCCCGCCAGGGCCTGCGAGAGTTTGTGCTTACGGCAGGCTCGTGCGCTGTCGACGGCAGCGTTGGTTTCTGACACCGCCTGGATCGTTCAACCTTGGACGATCGCAGCTCTCCGAAAGCGCAGATGGCTTAATGTTGCACGAATGATGGCTGGTGGTCGTGGGAGAAATACATTCTGTATCCGCGGCCTCGCGGGCCGGGCCCCTGAGCCGCGACCCCGCAGGTACGGGGCGTTTCTGCGCGAATGCTCAGCGCGGAACGCATCCGTGCAATCGCGTATCCGCGGGACCGCGCTCTGGAATCCAGACCGCGAGGGCGCGGATGTGGATATGTTCACCTCTCGTGTATTGGCGTTCAACCTGAAAATAGAGGCCTCATAGGTGCGGTTCCGAGTAGACTGGGGCGGAGGATCGCGCCGCATCGTCAATACATCGCCGATGCATCGCCGAGGCATCGGCGACGTCGGCGATGCATCGGCGCCGTCGGCGTGAAGAACTTCTGGCTCCACGTCGAGCCGCACCGCCGATGCATCGGCGATGCGGCGCGATCCTCCGACGCTGTCCACTGCGAACCCCTTCTCGGAGGCCTAGAGGAACGCCCCCAGTCCGGTCGTCGCCGAGGCGGCACGACGCTTTTTTCCTCCCGCTCACACGATGCCCTCCTTGCAGGGCCGCGCGGGGCCCGCGAGGGCCGCCAGGACGGCGGAGCGCTGGAAGCGCGCCGGCGGCAGGAACTCGCGCACGAAGGCGGCGACGCTGCCGGGGCCCAGGATACGAGCGAGGCGGAACAGCACGAAGTTGCGCGCGGGCAGGAAGGCGTCATCTGCAGGTTCGCGCCCGTCTCCCTCGATGTCCTGAGAAAGGGTCGATCAATGACCCTCCGAAAGTATGTTAGCGCCAGCGCGTGCTTGTCCGAAAAAAAAGTCATACTCCTTGAGAGGGATTCAGTGAAGCAGTGCTTTTAGCACCGCACCCAATCGCAACAAATACATCAAATGAATGATTAGTCCGCCCCCTTCGACCGCGAAGTGCTGCCGCGCAGAAATGGGACTCATGCAATGCACATTCCTGACGTCGCAGGATTGTCTTGTGATTCTCTATTTCGGCCCAACTCTCGCACGCTTCGTAGCCCCGTCGGGAAGTCTCGTGAAGGCCCCAGTGGTTCCGCTCGCTTGGCGTCGCTGCGCCCGAGGGGGGTCCTTGCTGGACCACGTGGCAGGATGGCTCCAGGGGCCAGCGGTCGCCAAGTGCAGGGCTGACGCTCCAGGATGCTGGTCGCGTTACCATTTCTCCTGAAAGGGGAGGCGGGGGAGTTCTTGGTCGCTTCATGATGAAAGCCGAAACAGGCGGCATGCTACTGATACGGGCGGAACTGAGTGGAGCAAGTGCACACTGAGCCACCACGCGTCCCGAGGACCACCGAGTCGAGAACGGGGGGGAGGGGCTGGCCCAGGGGAAGTGACTCCGACCCAGAATCGGCGATACGTCACAGTGAAGGGGCCCACAAACACACAAATAAATACACACGAATCACAATATTCCCCATATTTTCCTATATTTTCTGGGTTTTTGTCTTCCCCACCACTTCCCATATGTTCCGATATTTTCTGGGGAATCGAGGATGAATTGTGTCTGTGTGTGTTTTTGTTTCCCTCCTGAGATGTGGCCCACAAGCTAGCGAAACCGCACGCTCCTGGGCGGGCTGGGGGGCCCAGGCCCCGGTGGGCGACGCATGGGCGAGTGGGGGTCGATGCGACCCCTCCCAGAGGGGCAGATTTGAGTTTCGAAGTCTGAGGTTTTCAGACGTTTTCGTTGGTTCCAGGCTGCTTTCCAGCCGCAGGGTGCCTTTCAACGGCTGTTTCTCGCCGAGAGCGTCCTGGGGATTTCGATGCGACCCCTCCCCATGGGCCAATCTCAGCGCCCCTCTAACGGGGACTCCACTAACGGGTACTTTGGCCAGTGGCCCGGCGAACCCACCCCTCCCCGATGTGGGCAGCGCTGCAGTGCCAGAAAGAGGCCCTGAAGCGGCAACGTTCGGCACATCTCCAAAGTACCCGTTAGTGAGTACCCGTTACGGTGCCGCTGACAATCCTCCCCTGTCGTGGCCCCGGATGTCCTCGATAAGGAGCTCCACCATTCGCCCTGTGGAATTGCTGCCAGCCACGTCCGACAAGAGCAGCTCCGTGTGCCGCGCGAGCTCCAGCTCGAGGTGCAGGGGCAGCGGATACCGCGGGTGCGACAGTGCCTCGTGGATGGCGAACCAGAAGTTCACGCTGACGCTCCACGCCTCTTGCCGGCGGCGAGCCCGGAGGGGAAGCGAGAGGGGGCGGGCCTTCTCGGCCTTCCCCGAAGACACTGAAAACTTCTCAGACGGCCAGAGCGCTTCCGAGAAGCCCCGCCGCCTTCTGCGAAGGCCTTCTCTAGGGGGAAAACAAACCTACCTCGCTTTCCACCACCCTCGCTTCCAAGAGATACCAAACGATGCCAAATTGCAGCCTGTACTGGTCAGGCCGCTTGACGAGGAGGCGCGTGGTATGGATTGGTTTTGCCTGGAAGCGAAAGCGGGGTAGGTAATTCACGCTCTGATTCTCCTTCTCACCTCCCCCCCTCGCTCGCCGCCGACCTTGCCTCCCAGGAGACGGGCCCCGCGGGCGACTGGCCCGGGATCCGTGCCGGGGCAGGGCCCCGAGGGCGCGAATATACGGCGGAGAAGCCCACGGCACCGCCCCCGGGGGCGACGAGGAGGGCGAAGATACAGTTGGGGCGTTGACCTAAGGAACCCTAAATAAGGAACGAGGGCTCTTTTTTCATCAATTGAACTTCGACTTCCCATCGAAAACCTGCGGAAAACCAAAGGCGAACTGTAAAACTACCAAGGAACACTGAGCCCCTCCCAGACGAAGAGGGTTCCTTCTTCAGCGCCCCGACCGTAGCCCAGGGGGGGGGCAAGACGCGCATGCTCAGTGGCGCCGACGGTCCGCGTCTTTCCGGCGAGGCGCCACGGCGAGTGCGCGCGCGGCCCGCCCCTGGGCTACTTTCGCCCCTCTCGATCGCCTCCGAAGCTCCCTCCGTGGGCCATTCGCCCCGCGTGCCGTCTCCCAGGCTCCCTCCGTCGGGCCCCGCGGGCTTCCCGGCGAGCCTCGGCGGACGCCCCCGCCTGCACGTGGTGCCACCAGTGCGTCGGGACGTACAGCGCGTCGCCCGCCCCGAGAGTGGCCGCCGCACCGCGCCCGGCCAGGACCTCGGGCGCGCGCGGGAAGGCGCGCGCGCCCACCCTGCTTCGGCGGCGCGCGAGAGCGGACCCCCCCCCGGCAGGAGTGACCTCTGGTGCGCGGCTCGAGGAGGGCCAAGGGGGGCGTGAAGCCCGAGCGCGCCAAGCTAGGGAGCCCACAAAGGACGTACGCGCACAGCTTTATGTACATGAACACGGCCCCTAGATCCGCGAGACCGGCCGCGTTATACGAACATTCGTGCAATGCGTACTCTCGAAACCAACGTGGATTCATGTACGTGTACGTCCTTCTGTCGCTCCTGACAAGCCGCTGCCATGCACGGCGTCCCATCCCGGCAATCCGGGGGGGGCGCCCTGCTTCTCTCGGGAGGAGCAGGAAGAGGGAGCGCGACCACAGGGCTTCACCAGGCTCGGCCTCGACCGCTGTACGATTCGAAAGGTTCCAGGCACACTGGGCACAATCGGGGGAGCCTCCCATTCGGGGCTGGCACAATGGGTTAATTTCCCTGCCCTCCTGCCCCTTTCCCCTCGTCTTAGGCCCCGCCGAGAAATCATGTGGGGACGTTCAGGTCTTGTTCCTAAGACCCGTTGGGCTGCTGAATAAGACTTTGACTACCTACCAGACCACCCCAACCCAACCCGAGGACAAGAATTTCGGGTTGGGGGGAGAACGGGCTTCATATGTGTTTTCAATGTTCCCCGACACCCCTCCACTCGGAATGAAAGCAAATTGGGACCTTCGGGTTTGGTTGGGGCGGCTTGGTTGGTGGTGAAACTTGGTACATCTCCGTTACACCCAATCATCTCTGCTTCACCCTGTTGCCAACGCACCTCTGACGTTCACGGCTTGCTTGCTTGCCAGCCTGCATGCCTGCTTGCGCATAGGGTCACTCCTGCGGAGGGTTACTCTTGCGTGTGGCCGACCTCTCGAGGTCCACCATCGCGTACTCGTCGTAAGGGTGCGACAGAGGGAACGGGAACAACCCCTCGGCGGCGCGCGGGTCGAAGATGAGGAAGTGCTTCTCCCCGGCGACCTTCACGAGCAGCGAACGTATCCACATCCGCGCCCCCGCGGTCTGGATTCTGGGGCGCGATCCCGAGGATACGCGGTCGCACGGATACGTTGGGCGCGGAACATCCGCGTGAAAACGCTCCGTGTCCGCGGGGTCGCGGCCCAGGGACCCGGCCCGCGAGGCCGCGGGTACTGATGTGTGTTTGCGCCCATGAGACCTGGAGGTAGATGTTGTCGTACTGGTCGTAGTGCACTGGCGACAGGCTGTCGGCTGGCCCCACGAACAGCTGAGACCGCGACCAGGGGCCGAAGCCCCCGCGCTGCTGGATGGCACCAAGGCGCTCGCGGTCCACGTCGCGATCGCAGTCTGCCCGCAACGTCTCGTCGATGCCCTTGTGAAGGGGCCCCAGGACACACAAATAAATACGCACAAATAAAAGGATTCCCAATTTTTTCCCATATTTTCTGGGTTCTTGTCTTCCCCCCCACCTCCCATGGTTTCCCATACTTTCTGGGGAATCGAGGACTCACTGTGTCTGTGTGTGTTCTTCCCCTCCTGACCTTGGACCACTGCTCCCGAAGCCTGCCGCCGGCGTCATATTTTCTGGGTTCTTGTCTGCCCCCCCACCTCCCATAGTTTCCCATACTTCCTGGGGAATCGAGGACTCACTGTGTCTGTGTGTGTTCTTCCCCTCCCGACCTTGGACCACTGCTCCCGAAGCCTGCCGCCGGCGTCGTATTTTCTGGGTTCTTGTCTGCCCCCCCACCTCCCATAGTTTCCCATACTTCCTGGGGAATCGAGGACTCATTGTGTTGGGCGCCCGAGTTATCCGGGGTAACTCGGGCCCGGGGTAACTCGGGTTTGGGTTCCCGAAAAAACGAACCCGAGTTATCCCTGACCCGAGTTACCCCTGATGATTCGGGGCTCTGGACGCCCGAGTTATCCGGGGTAACTCGGGTCCGGGGTAACTCGGGTTCGGAATCCCGAAAAAACGAACCCGAGTTATCCCTGACCCGAGTTACCCCTGATGATTCGGGGCTCTGATTGTGTCTGTGTGTTTCTTCCCCTCCCGACCTTGGACCACTGCTCCCGAAGCCTGCCGCCGGCGTCGGCCTCCCGCAGGACCAGCGGCGCCTGGAGGTAGTAGCGGCTGCCGGGGTCGTCTCGCGCCGCCCTCGCGAGGGATGCAAACAGCGGCCCCACCCTGGGAGGAGGAGGGAGGAGGAGGAGGAGGAGGAGGAGGAGGAGGAGGAGGAGGAGGAGGAGGAGCAAGAGGAGGGAAACAGGCCCGTCTGGTGAGCCGCTCCTCGGCGCGTCAGCGCGCAGCGGACGCGTCGCGGGTCACGAGGGATGGTTACGAGTGCGTGGTCTGTAAACCTCCTGGGAACCCCCAGGAGCCTACACCCTGCGAAATGCTTAAGAACTCATGGGTCAAGAAATGCATAGTCTCAGAATTTGATTACAAACCCAGAACCCCCAGGAGCCTAGAGGACGCCAGGACGCCGCACATCACGCAGGGTTTACCCTGTCGGCCCACAGGAGTTTCAGCGCACAGCGCCTCGTAAACCAGGGTAGGGGCGCGTTTTATCCCCTTGACCTCAGGAACTCGGCGAACGACATCGTCAGATTTGCGCTGGCCCTCCGAGGCGCGCCTCGGAATGCGGCCATGTCCCTGTCGCTCTGCTCGGGCACGTAGTAGAGGTAGCGGTTCTCGCCACCAGCGGACTTGAGCACGGTCATGCCCGGCCAATCAGTGGTGTGCTGCTTCAGGTACGGGATACTCCACCTGGACGTCGCCGGCATCACGCCGAGGTTCTCCATCACCACGGGAACATGTCGCTCGATGAAGCTCAGGGCACGGCCGAAGCCCTCTGCTCCACGGCAGTCCACCCTTGTCGGGCGCTGCCACGGGTGTCCCCGGCGCAAGGTGCCCCCCAGGATGCCTGGGGAGGCCCAGATGGCCTCCCGAGCACCCCTCACGAGGCCCAGCGGGCCTCAGAGGCTCCAACATGTGGCGAAAAAGCTGGGGACACCTGAGGCCACGATCACTTCGACGGAGGATGAAGAACTGCATGAACAATAAACTGTCGGGGGTCCGCGCGGACTCCTTGGATCGGTGCTGGACCCCCTTTCATGGCGCGCGGGGTGCGCCAGGGGCGGCGCCAGAGGTGCCGCCAGAAGGGAGCGCAGCTCGATGAAATCCGCGCGGACCTCCGGAAGTCTACGTCTAGGCAGTCCCTTCTTCTGCTCGGCGGCGGGCCCAGGGGCGAGGGCAGAGGGGCCAGGCCAGCCCCCTCAGACGGCAGCGGGCCTTCTCAGAAGCGCGCCCGCCCTCTGAGAAGCCGCCCGTGGCTTCGGAGGAGGCTCAGATACAGTTGGGGCATTGACCTAAGGAACCCCAAATAAGGAACGAGGCCCCTTTCTTCCATAAGTTAAGCTTCGATGTCCCATCGAAAACCAGAGGCATACCAAAGGCGAACTGTAGAACAACTGAGGAACACTGAGCCCCTCCCAAACAAAAAGGGTCCCTTCTTCAGCGCCCCGACCGTAGCCCAGGGGGGGGGAGCAAGACGTGCATGCTCAGTGGCGCCGACGGTCCACGTCTGTCCGGCGAGGCGCCACGGCGAGTGCGCGCGCTGCCCGTCCCTGGGCTACTTTCGCCCCTCTCGTCGCCTCCGAAGCTCCCTCTGTGGCCCATTCGCCCCTCGCGTCGTCTCCGAGGTCGGAGGCCAGAGGTCTTCTGAGCCGTCGGAGAAGGCCCGCCCCTTCTGCCATCCCCCCCCCCTGGGCGCGCTGCCGATCTCGCCGACCCTCGGTTCTGCTCGGAGCACCGCGGGGGGTGCTGAATGGATGGGAGGTTATACAGTCGGGGCGTTGACCCAAGGAACCTTAAATAGGGAACGAGGCCCCTTTTTTCCATGGGTCAAACTTCGATTTCCCGTCGAAAACACAAGGAAAACCTGAGGCAAGCTGTGAAACACTTCAGGAGCACGGAGCCCCTCCCCAACGAAAAGGGTTCCTTCTTCAGCGCCCCGACTGTATGCGGATGCTACGGTGGTTACATCTGGTGTGACTTGGATTAGGCGTGGGCTGCTGGTGCCCTAAATTGCGTGGGTGGGTTCGACAACTCCGCCAAGCGGGCGCAGCCTGCTGAGCCCGACTCGTTAACTACCCCCCATGTCACACAGGAAATTCGTATCCTCTTATAAGCTACACGTCAGGTCACATATGCAATCAAAGCTCGCGGCCCGCGGATTCGGACAAGGTCGAGGGCGACGCGTGGAAAGACGGCCAAGGATACCCTGCCTAGTCCGCGTCCTTGGAGCTTAGAGCTGTCCCCAAGAGGAGTCTCCCGCCGCGCAGCCGAAGCACGTCGCCCTGAGGACCGGCCGCAGACGCAATGATGCAAGTGTACCCCAAAAAGTATTTATCAAGGGGAGGGGAGTAGCTTTCCGACTGAGCTTGCCCAAAGCCACCCCCTCCACCCTCCTCCCCATTTTGGTCCTCCTCCTCTTCCTCCAAAGCCCCACCACCCACTCCGACAGCACGTGCCCACCCCACCCCCAGCGGATCCAAGGGGGGTGCGATTCTTGCCCCATCCAGGGCACCCATGGACCATCGTGCGTCGTTACTATCAGCTTTGACCGTAAGCCACCTCGGCATCCACGGACAATTCCCTATCTCCTCACGTATCTCCTTACAGCAGCCACCGCCGTGCCTCAAGTAGCATCACCCGACCTTGGAACCTCCCCGCCGCACAGCCACGCCTCGTAGCGCCGGGCCGCTGGCGCCCGCGCCCGACTCGACCAGGACGGCGCCGCTCCAGACGCGGCGGCGCCCGCGGCGTGTGCCGCGTCGCAGCGCGCCCCGGGCCCCGCGGGGTCCCGCGTGAGCAGCGAGCCGCTCCGCCTGTCGGGTGCGCCCAAGGGGCAGGAGCCAGGAGAAGCGACACCATCACCACCAGCGCGAGGAGCGAGGGAGGGGGGGGGCCTCCTGGAGGCGCAGGCCCCCCCCCCCATCTCGCTCGAGACACCCCCGAAGGATCCGCAGCTCGGGGAGGCGTCGTGGGCCCCGTCGCTGGAGGTGGGGCGCCCGGTCGTGCTGGTGGCGCCGCCTCTGCCTCCTCCTGGGCAGCAGGGGGTCAGCGCTCCCGAGGCACGTGCGCGGACGAAGGGGGGGGAGGAGGAGGGAGGAGGAGGAGGAGGAGGAGGGGAGGAGGAGGAGGAGGAGGAGGAGAGGAGGAGGAGGAGGAGGAGGAGGAGGAGGAGGAGGAGGAGGAGGAGGAGAGAGGAGGGGGAGGGGGAGGAGGAGGGGAGGGGGGAGGGGGAGGGGAGGGGGAGGGAGGAGGAGGAGGAGGAGGAGGAGGAGGCGGAGGAGGAGGAGGAGGAGGAGGAGGAGGAGAGGAGGAGAGAGGAGGAGGGGAGGAGGGGGAGGGGGAGGAGGAGGAGGACGAGGACGAGGAGGAGGGGGAGGAGGAGGGGGAGCAGGGGGCCATGAGACCTGGGAGACTGCACGGCCCCAGCCATTCCATCCACACACCCCTGGTCCCCACCCCCGCCTGCGACGCCCGGAGGCCTTCGGGGTCATAACTCAGGCCTCCGGCGGCACTGCGAAACGACCCGGGCACCGCCAGAGCGCTCCCGGCAAGGCGCAGCTGCTGAAAAGCAGCCCGGGGCTGGAAGAGGTCGAGACCAGACGAAAACACAAGAGAAACCATCAAACCCCAGACCCCCGACGTCTTGATTGTTCATCACGTGGGCCCCCAGAGGTCTGGACCCTTTCCTGGGAGCCGAGGCCTTCTGGGTCGTTGTTTGATGGTCCCGAGGCCTGGTAAGGGCCCCCAAGAGGCCGAAAATAGCGAGCAACGGTCCGTCGTGATGTTGCACACGATGCGAGAGGGGGTCTGGGTACCATGTTGAGATGCAACGATAGGGGGGATAGGGATAGGGGGGGGAAACATCGACCTGAAATCGGCGATACATCGCCGATAGATCGGCGATAGGCCTCCGATAGTGAGGCCGGACGAGTGGGGGTCGATTCATCCCCCACCATGCCGGGCCCCTGACCGACACGTAGACGCCCCCGCCGTGCCTGGCGGGCGCGGGCACCAGGGCGGGGCTGGACCCGAAGGCGCCCTCGAGGGCCTCGCCGGCCGCGGCGCAGAGCTCCTGGCCCCCGGCCTCGCGGGCGAGGTCCAGATCCACGTCCGCGGCCCGTCGCTCGGACGGTCCCTTCCCCGTGCTCGAGTGGTTTCGCGCGCGTGTCTTCTCAAGATGATGTTTGAGGCTCCAAGGTGGTCCAGATTTCACGGCGGTGGCCTCGCGAAGAAAAAATGCACGCGTCCGAGAGGTGCCAAGAAACATTGGGCTCCACGTGTTTACAGTCTCCTGCCACGGGACGAGTCGTACAGAGGTCCCCGGCCCCTCCCTCGTCCTCCTCCCCCATCCTTCTTCGTGGTCTGCTCTGCCATATCTCACAGTGTTGCAGAGCACGCATGCCAGTGCGGTTTGTATCTTACGTTCTGCTGAATGATTATGCCCATGAGCTGTTTAGCGATTGGCTACTGTCTGCCTGCCTGCCTGCCTGCCTGCCTGTCTCTCTGTCTGTCCACGGCGTCTTGGAATGTTTGGGAAGAGATGCCGGAACCCAGGGATGCAGTGGGTACTGATAACAATCTTGCCTACTTCTCACCACCACCACTGCAGATCAGGGGCGGCTGACCCATGGTAGTGCTCTGCTGTGCGGGGAGCCGTCCGCGCCCAGCCGAGCACTACCACAAGTCAGCCGCCGCCCCTGATCTACTGTGATGGTGATGAGAAACAGATAAGCCTGTGATCGTTGGAGGCCAAATTCTGATCCGTACCCAGTGCGCTTCAGGTCTACAGTCTGAAGACCACCCTCAAGAACATGAGACCCTCCGCCGGCAAAAAAAGCACATAACATCCAAGGGTACCCTTCCCAGGGTGCACAAGACCATCCAACAATCACGAAGCACATTAATTAGGGCACCCTCCCCGAACCGACCTCGATCTCACGCCTCGGTCCGCCTGTGTTCCAGGGAAGAGGATCCGCAGCATCCGAGACTCGGGCCGGGCGTAAGGGGGGGATAGCAAAGGGGGGGTGAGAATCAGCTCACGTAGCTGATTTTCCCGGCGCCTCCAGGCGCCGGGAGGCGTCCATGTATCGAGGAATGGGCCCCTCGGTGGGTCAAAACCAGCTGCATGCACCAGATGTCGTACACCCCTCCTTTCCAGATCCCCCCCTTTCGTCCGGCCCGAGAGGCGCAGCCGACGCGGACGCACACCCTCGCCCGCAGGCCTCCCCGGCGGCGAGCCGCTGGGCCCGGAGCAGCAGGGCCAGGCCCCGGTGCTGCCTGCCCGACCCCAGCGCCCGCCGCGCGGCGCCCAGGGCCGCCGCGGCGCCCGCGGCTCCGGCGGGCGCGGCGGGCTGCCGCCGGAGGGGGGGGCAGGAAGCGGCACGGGCTCGAGCTTCCGGGGTCCCTCCTCCTCCTCCGCCTCCTCCTCCTCCTCCGCCTCCTCCTCCTCCTCCGCCTCCTCCTCCTCCTCCTCCTCCGCCCCCTCCTCCTCCTCCTCCTCCTCCTCCTCCTCCTCTTCCTCCTCCTCCTCCAGACCTCCGGCGACAGGATCTGTCCAGCCTGGCGGCTCTGCCTCGGCCTGGCCCTCTGGGGCTCGTGTTGCTGGGCCCCGGGGCCGCGAGACGGCGACCTGGGGCGAAGGCATGCCCCAAGGGAGGGGTCGGGACCTGTGGGGTCGGTAGGAGGTCGTGCTGTCGGAGACCCCAGCCTCCGCTCGTCGTGGAACACCAAACGGCGACGGGACGTCTTGGGCCATTTCTGGCTCCTGGGGAACCGTCCAGGGCTGGCCCGGGATGAGAAAAGACATGGGACCAGACCTCCGTGGGTCCACGTCGTGGAAAAAAAAACACTGCGTCGGAGTCCTGGATCCCGCGCGAACTTCTTCGCAGGCTCGCCTCGTCCACCGGGCTCTCTAAGATGCCCGCGGCCTTCGCCCCAAGCTGCAACGCTTGGTGGTAGTCGCTACTGTAGTTATCATAGCGCCCCTGCTATCACTCGCGACGGGGCCGTCCCCTCGCCGAAGGATGGACCAAGCGGGCGCGGGGCGGCTGCCCGATGCGGCCACCAAAAGCGGCCGTCAAGGAGGCGGATCCAAAGCGGACCCAGGACGGTCGCGCGGACCCCCGAAAGTGTGTGCTCGTGCCGCTGTCTCCCCCTCCGATGCAGGAGGCACGCCCCCGGGGATGCGGAGGTCGGGCGAGCCGAAGAGGGGGGCCAAGAAAGGGGCGCATCACGCCCCGAGGTATGTGCGCGGAAGAAGAAGTATCGGGCGCGGCCTAAGCGACCCCTAGCAAACCATCCTCTTTCGTGACGTCATCCTCGCCTTGCGAGTTCCCCTCTGGCCGCATACAGACGTCTTGGGGCGAGGCGAGGGGGACGTCTCGGAAGGGGATGGTTTGCTAGGGGTCGGTTAGGCCGCCCCTGAGAAGTAGGGGCGATGGCGTCTGGAAAAGATCACGGCCCTGGCCATGACATCCACACTCCTGCGGTCATTGCCCCTTCTTGGACACGTCGTGGCCTTCGGGCCATGGCCCTGGCCGCCCGAAGCGAACACCCCCGGAGAGCTCTCGACGAGGCGCAGCTGCTTGAAAGCCCCTTTGGGGCGAGGAGGCACCCGAGGACAGACGAACACCTCCCCCCCCTCCCCCAGAAGGAACAGTACACCACCAGCGCGAGGAACCAGGGTCGGGAGCGCGCAGACATGGAGCAGCGATCCACGGATTTGGCGCGCGGCCACCGAATCCATGGATCGGGGAGGTGCCCTCCCCAAACTGCGGCCAATGCCGCCTCGCTCGGCGGCGGAAATCCGCGATTTCCCCTGGAAACGGGACCCGACGATAATCCACGCCCCCTTGATCCACGTTTACGATCGCCCGACCACACGCCCCCAGGAGGAACAATACACCACCAGCGCGAGGAACCAGGGAGGGGACCCCCCTCGCTGGAGGTGGCCCACCTGGAGGTGGTGGTGGTGTGGCCTCCAGTTCCTCCGACCCCTAGCTTTAGGTCGGGCATGTCCCCCTACAGGCAGAGTTTGAGGAAAAACAGTTACCTTCTTAATGATCCAACACAGTGGAAACATCGTCCGCATACTATTTCTTGCTTATTTTTGAACGTTCCTCCTCTAGATTGGTAGTCCCCAAACGTGGTGGTGACAACACCTGGCGGTGAGTCTCGAGCGATTTGGTGTCACCACCCGGTTTGGGGACTCGTGCGGCCAGGAGTCACAAAACCCGGTGGTGACCCCGCGTCCCCAAACCCAGCGGTGACCTTTCTGGGGATTCCAGGTCGCCACTCGGTATCTCACCACCTGGTTTGGGGGTTCCCAAGTAGAGGGACATGCCCGCCTTCACCCTGGCCCCCGATCCACCCCCCTCTTCCCGGCGCCCCTGCGGAGGGCCCCTCGCCAGAAGCAGCGCGCGGCCCCGGCCGCCACCGGGCGCGCCTGGCCCCAACGGCGCACCGGAACCGCACCGCGGGGCCGACCTCTGTGGCAGCGGCACTCGGCGAGCGGGGGGGGGGGAAGTGAGAAGGAGAAGGCCTTCTCAGAAGGCGGCAGGACTTCTCGGAAGCCCTCGCGCCTTTTTTTATTCTTTTTTTATTTATTTTTTTAGGAAGCCCTCGCGCCTTCTGAGGAGTCTGTGCTCGTCTGCGGGGAGGGCTCAGAGAACTGCTCAGAAGGCCGGGGGACCTCCGAAAAAACTTCTGAGAAGGCCTTCTCCTTCTCACCTCCCCCCCTCGTTGCCGCCGAGATATCAGGGGGGACTGGCTCAGGGGAGAGGGGGGGGGCAGCGTCGAGCCCGACTCAGCGACACGTCGCCGCTTGGCCCTTCCATGGCGAAGCCGAACACTCCTGGGCGTGGTGGGGCACAGGGCCACTGTCGGCGATGAGTGGGCGATTATGGGTCGACGCATGTCCCCCTGCGGGGGCACCAGAAGGTACCAATACCGCTGCTCCCCCGACCTCTCCTCGAGTGCGTCCTGACCGGAATTCCGAAGTGAATCCAGCCGTGGCGACGAGCAGGCAACCCCCAAAAGAGTGACAACGAGGCATCGGCGCCTTTCCCACTCCTTTCCCCTCTCCCGGTCCTGAGCCTGCAGTCGGAGTCGAGTGGACAGGACACGCGAGAGGACACGAGACCCTTCCGAGGGCCACCCTGCCACAGGAATGTAGGAAGCATGGGTCGCGAGACACAGGACACAAGGGTACCCTTGATTTGGCAGGGTCGACCTACTAATCTCGACAAACCTCCCTTTAATAGACCTCCCCTTAGTGAAAACGGCATGGGACCGAAACCGATGGACCTGGACCCGCAAAATGACGGCCGCGACGCCCTCTCGCGAACCGAAAACGGCCAATTCACTAATCGACGTGTCAGGGTAGGAGGTCTGTCCATCCCTGGTAATCTGGGCCGACTGTGCCCACCTATGCCGCTGCCCCCGAACCTCGCCGCCGCGGCAGCGCCGAGCGCAGGCGGGCGGCGCCACGGCGCTGGCCTCCCGCCCTGCTGGCGGCGGCGCCGGAGCCACCAGCATCCGCCCCCCCCCTATGCACCCCCGCGGGGACGGCGCCCCGGCGCCCGCCCTGGTGGGGCGACGAGGCTTACACGTTCGAGGAACAAGAGCTGGCACAAGCATCAGCTTTTGGAGATCGGTGCTGGCCTCTTTGGCTCAGCGCCGGAGGCGCCGCCAGGGGGCTGCGGCGCCGATCCAAGAGATCCCGCAGACCTCCGACAACTCATGGTCATGTCGTTTCAGGTTCATCGGCGCGTCCCCCCCCCCCCGTCCTGTCCGCAACGCGTGCGCGCGCTCTTCCCGCAGCGCGCGCGGCGAAGAGCCCGTGATTGACCCATACGGGCGACGGCAGGGCAGCGCGGGCCCGCGGCCTCTGGCCAGGCCCGCCCCTTGGCTCCGGGGCCAGCCGCGGTGGGCACGCGTGCGAACGCGTGCGCGTGGGGGCGGCACGGCCACAGGGGAGGCCCTGCCTGCAAGTGTTCCGACCCCTGTCCTTCGCCCAGGGTGGGCTTGGCCAGCCGCGGTGGACATGCACGGGAGAGCGCGCGCGTGGGGGCGGGAAGGCTGAGAGGGAGACCCTGACCGCAAGTTCCCCCCCCACCCAATCAAAAGGGGAGTGTCAGCAAAGTGGGCCCCTGTACAAAAGGGCCGGGGGGTTGCAAGCCCCCCCCCCCTTCCCCACCCTCCCCCTTTTGTCAGCCAGGTGGGCCCCTGTAGATAAGGGGCGGGGGGCGTGCAAGCCCCCCCCGCCTTCTCGCAGGCGGGGGCAAGCCGGGGCCCCCATGTGGAGAAGGGGGCTCGGAAGTTTCCCCTTTCTATCCCTGGGGGGCAGCGATGCGATAGGGGGACAAGCATAATTGGGATGCATCAGCGTGGAATCGGCGATACATCACCAATAGATCGGCGATAGGCCCCCGACAGTGAATCCGCACCTTCCTGGGCGGGTTGGGGCTATCAGACCCCTGCGGCGATCAATGGGCGATTGGGGGTCGATGCGTTCCCCCCTACGCCTGTTCCCCCGATCGTTGCCCCTACAATTTCTAATGGAAGGGGGGAGGGCTTCCGAAGCGACCCGCCCGGTTGAGGCGAAAGGTAAGCCCGGGCTCCCTTTCTCGGGCATTGATCGGTGGTAGCCTCATCAATTAATGACACCTGCGGAAAGGACACCGCGTTCCTGGGGAGCCTGCGTTAGAACGGTGGTTTTAAGTTTCAGCCTCCCCCTCCGCGCTCCGTGTTTCCCGTCGGGTCCATGGCCTGGCAAACGAGACGCTGTCCTGGAATAGTTCGCACATTCAATGATGCGGGCTCTTTCTTGGCCATGCTGATAGGCAAAAAGTGAGCATCATCGCATCGAATATGTTATCCGGAATCTTCGTCCTGTAGTAGTCAATTGCCCATGTTTATCTTCAATGTGGGTGATGTTTCCCTACATGCCGTGGCTCTATGAATCTGATGGTGTCCGTTGAGCTCAGGCTAGCAACAGGATATGAGGGGGCCAGCCGGCCAGGGGAGGGCGCCCTTGAGGGCTCGCGCGCGGGGCGGGCGGGGCGCATATCTTTTTCTCGATCCAACCCACATCAGCTGCGACGAAACTGCAAGTCAGAAGTGGGCACGGGGGGGCGACTAAATCAACTCCCCCCGCGGCTGGCCCGGCGACCTCCACGCGCGCGGGCGGGCGAGCCTGATTTAGGCATCGCACCGAATTCTTAAGATAAGCGTCTTGACACGCAGCGCCCAGTAGACAGCTCCCCGATTGTCTGGCTCGCCGTGCAAAAGACGCGGGTGCATGGCACCACTGTGCCACGGCGACTCTGTCAACCCCTTTATGATCGCGTCTGAGCTGCAAACATCAGTCTCGAAAAGGTAGTGTCGGAAGGGGCACTGTCGGCATAGCCGCTTTCCCTCCTCGTCCTCTCCCTCTCACCCTCGCCTGTGATCACGTGAGCCCCAGCTGTCATTGCACCGGCTGTCCGAGTTCCATGTCCACGATGACCACCAGATCGCGGCACCTCCCTGCCACGGGGTGGGGGGATCCGTAGTCTGCTGCTCCGCGTCGGCGCACGCGCGCCATGGGCGAGACGCCCTATGCCCATCTGCCCTGCGCCGCGCTGCGTCTGCCTCATCACGCCGCGGGGCATCCTGATGCCGAAAGTCAAGGGCAGCAGGAATCCTCGCAATAGGCATGGAATTCGAGGAAGCTGCCCCCGCACTGCGGGGCGTGTCCCACTGCGTTGAGTTCTCAGCTTGGCGCCGCCTGCATTCTTGTTGATCATCTGGCGCTCGGCTGCGTGGCCTCCTTGATCCCTGTCTTTTCCCTCGCCTGCTATGTCGCCCGCCGCCCTCGCTGCCGCGGATCGGCCCTCGGGCTTCGCGGGGCGCGGCCGCTTGGAACCCGCGGCAGATGGCTCACGAGATGATGCAGCAGCCCCGACATAGTCGGCTGGTGCGCCCGCACTCGTCGCGCGCGCATTAGGCATAGGGGCCCTGCGGAACTCTGCCTGCGGCCAATAATCCGCAATCTCCGCCGCCATGGCGGCCCTCAGACTGGCGAGCGGTTCGATGCCCCTCGATCCTGGAGCCGCGGTGCACCGCGCGGACCATCCACAGCTAGGTTCCTCTTGGTGGCGCCCGGCTCGATGGGCGCAGTCCCAATCGAAGGGGCTCAGTATGGCATAGCCATCCTCCCTCATTACCCTCCTGCTGATGCATGGCCACCACTTCTTCGGGGGAACCACAGCTTCCTTCTTTGTCGCAGGCGCGCCGAAGTGGGTGTTCTGGAACTTGATCCACCTCCGAGCCGACGTCCTCGTCTTTTCGAGCTTGCAGAGATTCTGCGGCGCAGGTGGTTCGTCGTCTGGGGGCGTGGGCAAACGGGCAAAGACCGTCGCGATGTTGCGATGGAAAGCAGTATTGCCTTGTAGGGCGTTGTCTCTACGTAAGGCATTTCCCGCAGCATCAGCCTCTTTCCCCTTATTGTGCGCCCTTACCCGCGCGCGATTGGCGTCTGCCCCGGCCCATCTCTCCGCCCCTGGGTCGCGGACATTGCCCAGGCGAGCCCTCTCATTTAGGCCGATATCCTTGTAGACGACCTTCGGCTTGATAGCATCGGCGTCGGAAATGCGGGCCCCGTGCTTCGCGGCAGCCCGGCACGTGAAACACGCTAGCGCCCCGATCCGATTGCAGCAGTCACTGCCGCGCAGAAGGTGCCCGCCAGCTCAAATTAGGCGCTCAAAGCGCGCCCTTCTTCTCCGTGGGGCGAGCTCGTCGCCAGCGCCCCCGTTGGGCATGCGATGCAGCTCGTGGCGCTGCTTGGACCGATCGACGCAGGCCGAACCGAAATCGGGATAGACTTGGAGGGCGACGAAACGTCGGTCATAGACCAACGTCGACGACGCCCGTGCATGCTGCATAGAAAGCCGCATTATCTGGCGAATATCGTTCCACTTGGGGCGGAGAGTGGTCGCGGGAGCGCCGCCGCACTGCATCCATTTGTCCTGGTAAAATACGGGGCTCAAGCGCGAGCACGTGCATCTCCGGCAGCGGGCACGGGCCATCCAGACCGAAGGCGCTGGCATCCAAAGCCTGGCCGGCCACTGCTCGCCCACCCTCCTGGTCTGAGCCACCTCGGCAGCTCTCCGTGCATTTTGCCGCGCTCGCCGGTCTAAGCATTTTTCGACCAATCTGTGCCCCGTAGGAACCCCACTCACCACTCCAAACGACTACATCATTTGGGGGGTCATGCGGTCCGAGCTTGGTCGGCAGACAGGTAATGAAGCGATACTGCCGAACTCCTTGGAAATCGCTCTTCGGTGATTCGAAGAGTCCGGTCATAGTCCGCTTCATGGCAGCGTCGCCCAGGGGAATGACAATGGCCTGATGAGAGCGCCCTGCAGCCGCATCGCACCTGATGCACATGCACTTCGGGTCTATGGGCCGGACGGAATGGCCCTTGCAGGCGCGGAACATCAACGGCGCTCTAGCCGTAGGCGCCATCGCATGTACTCCTGCGTGCGCATCGTCGCCCCCTGTCGGTTTGCACCCAAGACTGCCTTCCCAGTCGTCGGGTCCAGCGGTCGGGCCCGCATAGGCGTTCGACGTGCTCACGCCGAGGACCTGGTTCGCTCTGGGAGGCAATTGGGCGCGGGAATGCAAGAAGCGCGCCCGTACTTCATCGCGGCCCTCATCTCCCAGCATCTCGACGATAACGCACGCCTCGACCCCCCCCCCTGAGCTGCGGACGCGGGACGCGCTGTGCATCGCTAAGTTGACTATGAACGAGCCCAGGCGTCCAGCTTCCCCCACGTCCATGCCCGAATACCACGCCAGCACACGTTGCGCACTGTCCACCTTCATTGGGATGAGGCGGAACTCGGGCGATGGGGGGCAGCGTGGCTCGACCGCGTGGAAGCGGGCACGCAGAAAACGTAGAACCTTGGCGCCGTCTTCAGCTCACCGAGGACAACCCTTTGGAGCCACCACGGCCCCCCAAATAGCCGCCGAATTCCGAAGGAGTTGCGCGACAATTTTTTCTTGTTTGAAAGCATGCAGTGCTGGGCGCGTAGGCCAGCCTGTAATGCCCCCTGACGAGCATCCATGCTGAACCAAACATTACCGCGGCCTTCGCCATCATAACCGCCAAAACCACAAGATAACAAATGTTACAATCATCGTCGGGCTGAGGTCAGGTCAGTCTGCGTCGCCGCGCATCGACTCTTTACCGAAGCTGAGCGCCGCGAGCTCCCAGCAGCATTCGTCGACAGCTGTCAAGAGCAAAACCGCCGAAATGGTCCTTAAAAGGGCCGCCAGGAGAGCCGCCGAAATTGTCGCCGAAATTGCCGCCGAAATCGCCGCCGAAATTGCCGCCGAAATTGTCGCCGAAATTGCCGCCGAAATCGCCGCCGAAATTGCCGCCGAAATTGCCGCCGAAATTGCCGCCGAAATTGCCGCCGAAATTGCCGCCGAAATGATTGCGAACTCCGCCAAAATAGCCGCCGGAATTCAGCCGCCGAAATCGCCGCCGAAATTCAGCCGCCGAAATTTTCATTGCCCCGTCGCAAGCGAAATCGCTGTTCCAGTAAGCGCGATGACGCCGCAGACACAGGCATAGAGTCACAGCCAAGGTCAAATTCGGTCTTTTCTCGGCGGAACCATCTGGAATTTCGGCGGCAATTTCGGCGGCGATTTCGGCGGCAATTTCGGCGGCAATTTCGGCGGCGATTTCGGCGGCAATTTCGGCGGCAATTTCGGCGGCAATTCTGGCGGCCCTTCCGACGGCTCTTTCGGCGGCTCCTTCGGCGGCAATCTCGGCGGCCTTTTCGACGGCTCTTTCGGCGACTATTTCGGCGACGTTGATTTTGCCAACTGTCGACAATGGCTGCCGGAAGCTCGCGGCACTCGGCGACCCCGGCGGGCCCTGAGAGGGCCCCCGAAGGGCCTCGCCAGAAAGCGTCTGCGAAGTAGCTCAAGCCATGCGTGATTTGCACGCGATAGCATGCGCAACGTGCAATGTGAATGCCTCGCATTATACGTCAGCGCGCTCTAAGGTGCGTCTGGGAACCACCGCGCGGCAGGGCGCGCCTGCACACTGAAACTCTAAGAAAAACCTCAATTTCGTCTGGGATGGATTTCGGCGCGCGCCCCTTTTCGTCTCCAAAGAAAGAGCCACTATGATTCAGCAGTCAAACCTCTAATGAACTCAAGCAATGGGTCGCCAGCCAGTCCCCGCGCCCGCTGAGGCGTCCGCTCCCCGCATCCACTGTCTCTCTTCTCTCGGTTTTCGAAGGGCTCTGGGCCCGTGTCGAGGTATGATTTGCCTCCGTGCCAGCTCACTTGGGATGGCACATGATGCCCTTTCATCCCATGCCCTTCTTCCTCTGCTTGTCCTCGTTGATCGGAATCCGAATATTTCTGGGCGGAGTCGGGACCTCGCAGAGTCGGATGATATATCAAAGGAATCAGCTCAGGCAAGCCCTCGCGAGGTATAACCTTGGCCTGCTTTCCGCTTCTTCGTCCTGTCGCTCGCCTGATTGGCCTGACTCGTCACCCGATTCGCCCGCCAGACCGTGGGCCGCGCCCTGACCCCCGCGCCCTGCCTGGCCACCGGGTGCCGGAAAGGTTCCCTCCGTGAGACACATCTAGATGGACCAGCATTGGACCATTCTTAGCGGGCGGCTGCCCTTGCTTGGGTTTCGCATAGAGCGCTGAGAATCCACCCCTATAATAACCGCCCCGACACGCGAGGCCGTTTAGCAAGCGCATCCAAGGATGGGATCGAACAGGGCACGGCCGTCCAGCAAGCGCCCAAGGTCGTTTAGTAAACGCTAATTGTTCGGCCTGGGCGGCTGTTCCCCCCTTGATTGCACCCTCGAAGGTACCCTGGTCTCGAGCAGGCGGGACAGCGCCCGGGTGTAAAGGAGAAGGCGGGGAAGCCGCGGCATCGCCCTGCGCCCCCCATTCCATGCCCGCGGCGGAAGACTGCCCTCGCTCATGCTGGGGGTGGTCTGAGTCGACCTCCACGCCCGCGGCTGGCCACTGCCCTCGCCCATTCTGTGGGTGGTCCGAGTCCGCAGACGTTCGCGTCGGACTGTCAGTATCCTCAGTCAGTTCCGCCGCACCCTCGTTGATCTCAGCTCGTGGGCCAAGATCTCAGCGGGGACATTGTGTCTGCGTGCGTCAGCCCAGCGCGAATATGCGCGCTGGTGGGGAGTGCGTAGGTCAATGCGCAGCGCAGCATCAGGTCAGTCGTAGTAATCGCATGAAACCACCAGCTTAAGCAACGATGGCCTCGCCGTCGAACCCTCGCACATATCTCTGCATGAGGTGCAGTGGCATCCAAGTTGAAGACATGTGTATACCTGCTCCAAACGGGACGTAATCCCCCGTACCATCACTGGGCGTTCCATGGTCGACGGCCTCGCGTCAATCCATCGGGGGCGGTTGATGGGGCGGCACCCCTTCCCGAGGATCACGCTGCTGCGTGGTGGAGAAGAAGGGTCCAGTTCCTGGGAAGGGAAGCGAAGTCTATCATTCGCATAATCAACCTTCTTGAGACCGGCCCCTCCAAAGTTTCCCCGGCTTGGGCGCAGGAGCTTCCTCCCAGGTGATGAGCCAGGGAATGAACGTGGATGTTCTCGCTGTCGGTCTGAACGGAGTCAACAATACGTTGGGGGAACTCCTTGACAGAACGGTCCTCAAACCAGTCATCCTCGGCGCCGCCTGCTCCTGCGCGGTCACCAGTGTTTGGATCAGGTGGGGCACCTCCTCGGCCCATGACGTCACCCCTTCCTTCAGGGGCCAGCGGATTCATCAACTTGTAGGTTGTGAAGTCTCCGATCGAATGCTGCACCCAGCGGCTATCCACCTCCGCATTTGTTGCAGCCATGGGGCGATGTTCATCTCGAGCTTCAGCATTCTGTCAAGGCGGACCAAGGTGGGCGTTCACGTCGGGAGGTACATAGCACTCTCTACAAGACTGGTGTGTCCCCAGCTCTGTTCCCCAATGCACCTCGCCAGCCCGGGGCAGCCCACCTTCGGCAGCAAATGCACGCAACAAGAAACAGACAAGAATAACGGATTCCACTTATGTCACGAATCTGTCTCCTGAATACGCTCTCGCTGCCGAGGACTGCATCGTCTCCGACGGGCCCCCCGAATATGCACCTTGTTGTCGGTCCTCCGAGGGCCATGGCCCTCCAGGCGCGGCGCCGCCTCCCGTGTCTGCCAGAGGGGCACGGGTGCCGTTTCTGTCCACCCGAACCCCGCCTCCTCCACTAGGGCGAGGGGGTCTGGATCAACGATAGCAACGAAATCCAGCTCAAACCCATCTCCGTTCGACAACTCGGGATAGCATGACCAGAGCCCCTTGGCACGCGTTTGCGGAGGCGCAGCGAGATGCAAACGGGGGGCAGGCAGTGCGCACTAGATTCTGGGGAAACGAGCAGCATTCCTGCTTGTTCTTCAGCGTGTCCACGGCTTTGAATCCCCCGGACTCCGAAGGCAGAGCCAGAATCTCGAAATCGCACGTCACCGCCAGCCCGTCGTTGAAGAGCTCGGCCGCGCCCAAGTAGGTGGCGCGCTGCCACGGGATGCCCCGATAATCCTCGAAGGCGCACGCACCTCTCGGAGGCGTGAATTCAATGCTTCGTTCGTCCTCCGTCTCGCTCTTCGGAGGCAGCGAAGACGCTCGCGTTAAGGGCTGCACCGAGCCTGTCGATGCCGATCGCGCGAGTAGAACTGCCACCCCTAGTTTCTTTATGCGCGTGCGTAGCTCGGCGGAAGATCGAGAGGCAAGGTGGCAATGATCTGTTCTGGCTGAACGCCAACCACAGAACTGGCACTGCCAAAAGTCGCATAGCGCCCCTGGCACGCCGTTGTCACCTGTGCGCAGACGCTACGCACTCAACCACTTAATTACTGATCGGGCATGGTATGCTCTGGTCGGCATTGGGCAGCATGTCTGTCGGATCGCTGCTGCCAGACAGGCCTTGGAGCCGGCGGGTGCGCCACTTCTCTGATGAGAGACACCGTCTGGCATCAGCTCACGGTCAGGCTCCTTTAGCATCGCTGGGACACGCGACAGTAGCAACTGGAACTCCGCCTGACCATCGGGGGGAAACTCTCTGCCTATCAGTCTACCCTTGTTCTCCATCGTCTCGATCGTAGCAGGCCCGATGATGATTGGTTTCTGTTGTGACTGGCTCGACTCGAAGGCACGAAGACAGACTATAGCTCCCCCCTCGACGTTGCACGTCGGGTTACCTCCTCGATGCCGCCCACGATGCGGGCACCAGAATTCTCGAGCAGAGAGTCCTGTATCTTTTCCAATCATCCGCCAGGCTCTTGTGCGACGTTTTCGGGGCGTCGCTGGCATGGCCAAGCCCAGCCCTTCCAGTATGCACTATCACAAGACTCAGCGCACATATTTCTCTTCCTGCAACAATGCTTCCATGCGCAGATCCATCCCGTCGCCGCGAGTTATCTCCCGGATCGCAAGTTCGCCGCCAGGCAGCATTTCTGGGAAAGAGACGCGATCGTCGCGGGGCAGATCGTACATCGGCACGTCTTCCCACGGCAACATGCTTCACCCAGTCTGCTAACCTCCCCAGGCCCGCGCCCACGCGCGCTAGCGTGGGCAGCAACGGGGCGCCCTATAGACTAAATAAGAAGCAGGAAGGATTCGAGCTGAAAGTTCGCTAATCTTTTGAGCCCACCCTCACTGTGGAGCACGCGTTGGACGATGCATTCAACCCGCTTCGGGCGGGGAGGCTTGGTCCCCCCTTGCTTCTCGTCATTGGTGCAGGCGTAGCCTCCTCTGGGACTTTCCCCTGAGCTGGCATTCACCACGATGCGAACCTTGCATGCGTTGGCGATGCATCTGGTCATGTGTCTACCGTGCGACTGGCGAGGGCCCACCGCGAAATGCCGCGGGTCGCCGACGGGGCGTTCGCCCTTCTTGCGCAGCTCCGACCCTCGCGCCCATGACATTCCACAGAGAACTCCAGCCTCTTCCAAGTGCCTGATCCTGTTGTTCGCGACGGAGGCGGCTCGGCCGGCAAGTGCGCTCCAGGCGACAATTCTCCGCTGGGAGGAGCGGTTCCCCAGGACTGGGCATCGCCCAGCCCCTGGGCCACTATGCAGGCGTGATCCCTGTGGGCATATCCAGTCCGCATGTCCACCAGCTGCTTCGTATGCACCAGTTGCTCCGTCTCCAGATTAAAGAACTGCTGAGTATCAGACCCCGGCGCCGCGCCGCGCATGCGCCTGTCGTTGCTGCCGGAGCCCAGACCATTACCACCCCACAGCAATACGCGGCACCGGAATCCAGCGTCTGTCATGAAGATGTTCTGGCTGTCGAAGCTGATATTCTCTTGGCGGCTTGGCGGTCCAACGTCGAGATGGTCGTGATGGAATTCCACCAAGGCAGTGCGCGTAGCGCCCAGCGACTTGGCTATGCAAGCTCATCCGAAGAAGCGTCTTCCCCCCTCGAGTTGCTTCTCGCCAGCTGCGTCGTGGAACGTCGCCGTCGTGTCCGAAAGCAGCGCGACGTCGATGTCGGGGATCGAGCATTCGTTGTTCCACTTGCGCCTCTCAGCGCCAACGCGCCAGTCTCTGATCAGCACACGCCCCCCAGCGCAGTCGAAGATGGCGCGGCGGCCATTCATGTCGACGAGCCCTGAATAGGTCGCGCGCGCCCGAGCGAATCGCCAGCGCTCGATGCGAGGGGCGACAGCCGCGCTGACAAGATCTGCCACGCGTGTCGTCAATCCCAGGGCAATCATGACATGGTCATCTGACGGTTCCACGCCCGCTGTCATCGAGCGAGATGAGAATCTACCCTCGCGCCCTTGTCTTGCATCTTCGATGGCCCTCATGCGCCGCCTCCCAAACGCCGTTCACATAGGTGTTCGATCTTATTCTGGCGCGTTTGTCCTCGATATCGATGGCGCCGCTGCCCCGCTGACATAGCCAGACATAACTCCAGCGGGGCCCCGGGGGCCCTGCGATCCCCTGGCGCTCGCTGGGCCCGAAGAGACGCCGGCCCCCTTCTGCGCCTTTGGCCCGGCACCTCCCGACGAACCCGCACTTCCCGGCGCCTTGGGCAACAGACGCCTCGGATGCGAGCTGGCTGGCGGAGCCTGCGTCTGCGACGGCGGCGCGCGCGCAAGCGGGGGGGGCGACGCTGGCGGCGGCGGCCCCGCCGACGAAGCAGACGGGGCCGACGCGGCGGTCGCCGACCGGGCCGTCCGCGGCGCTGCCTTCGGCGGCGGCCCTGCCGGAAGAAGCGGGCCCCGAGGCGCCAGCGGTTGTCCGACCAGAGGCGGCGGGCCCGCGGGCGGCGCTGACGGCCCAGCCACAGGCGGCGGCGCCATCGGCGGCGTCGGCGGCCGCGTCGGAGGCGGCGGCGAAGTCCTGCGCCTCGAGGGCCAGCCCGGCATAGCTGGTAGCGGATCCTTCGATAGTGGAGGCTGCGACGGCATGGGCGATTGCGCCGTCGCCCCTGCCGCGCCCGTTGACGCCGTCGCACTGCTGTCGGGCATGTTCGACGGCCCCCCATCGTTTGAATTCGTGCTGAACGCAAACTTTGAGGCGGCCATGCGCGGCGACTGCCCTGGCGGCGGAGGAGGCGGCATCCCCTCCGCTTCGCTCGGCGGCGTCGCCGGCGGCAGCGGCCTGGACTTCGCCCCGGGCGACTCGGGCTTGGCCGGCGCCTCGGGGGGGAAGCGCTGCGCGCGACCATGGGCTGCTTCCCTTCGGCCCCCATGGGCCCCCGGGGTCACGGCGGCGGCTGGCCGAAGACGAAGCCGGCGCTGACCCCGCGGCAGGCCGCGGCGTCGGTGGCCCCTTCGCCGCGCCACTCGCGGCGTAGCCGCCCAGTAAAATCCCATTTGGCGCAGGTGCATATTTCCCCCGTGGACCCCCGTACCTCGGCGGGGCCGAAACGTCGGGGAAGACTCTTTCCGGCCTCGGGGGGGGGCCCGCGCTTAGCCCCCCATCTCGGACCCGACGGGGTGCGATCCCTCGCCCTAGCCACCCCGCGCTCGCAGCACTAACCACCGCACCCTGGCATTGCAGATAACCCAGACGCTTTGCAACTCCATCGTCGGCGATGCAAGGGCAAGTATCACGATGCCACTCTGGTCTGCGCGCGCCGTCATCCACGTCGTGCTCCGCGGGGTTCCATAGCGACGGGTAAATGCGAAGAAGATGCTCCACGAGCCCCGCGTGCGTCTTCCCGCGGCATAGGGCAATGCGCCGGCAATCGAAGCGCGACATCTGGCCCCCCAACAAAGGAAAGAGCCCTTCAACTCGTTCGCAACGCCGAATTTATTCCCAGAACCCTGGGGCCTGGAATTTGGTCGGGCGCGACATGGCGGCCCTTGTCCCGGCGAGTGAGCGCGGGGGAGGTCGGCGCCGGCGCCCCCGCCCCCCCGCGCCGGGCTTCCTGCGAACTTGCCAGTCACCGTCGCGGCGTTTGGGCCCCCCGCGCCGTACATCTGCCAGGTTGTCGAAGGCGCCCTCGAATGTCACCGCGGAGAGATTGCGCCAGAGTTTGTCCGTCGCCTTTCGGGCGCATTGACCAGCAAGCATCGCGCGCTGACCATCGCTCACGCGCGGCCTCGGCACGCGGAACGCAGCGCCGACCCCAACGCCCACCCACTTGACGGACACGATGGCAGAGAAGTCCGTTGCCTTCACCTTGCCCGCTGGAAAGTTCCATTCTTGGTCTCGGAACACAGGGCAGGCATAACCTATCCCGCCGTCGCAGTGGAGACCACGGATGCGAGGAACGTGCCTGGACGCCATCTTCACCCGCAAAGCTCCCCATGTGTCGTCTAAAAACACGGACCCCCCCCCTGCGCGACGCAGTCGGGCTTAAACGAGGAGTGCGCGAGCAGGCCGGCGACGACGGGGTCGAAGTGGAGACTGCCTGGGCCGGTGAGCCTAGGCAACCGAAGCGCACGCATCAACTGACTGACGATCTCGGCGACCTCGCCCGCTGCGCAGCCGCGGCCGAGGCCGAGCACATGGCGCAGACGGGGCACCTTGTACCATTCGACCACGTGTTCACGCCATCCTCCTCCTCCCTTATTCTCCCTGCGCTTCGCGTTCCCGTCATTTTCGGTCTTCGCGTCGCCTCCCAGCGCTCCCACCCAAATGCGCGCTGACTCGTTTCTGTACTCAGTGACGTCGACCAGGTCATAGACCTCTGGAAAGTCGCGATTGCCAGCCCGATGGCGCTTTTCCGTTTCAGGAACCGTCAAGACGGCGTCGGCCACGTCGACAAGATCACGAAGCTGTTCCCATAACACTATGTACTTGTCCTCCCACGACATGTCCAGGTCGTCGATGACAGCCGCGATGGGGGGGGGGGGCCCGAACGCATTCGAGGCGTCGGCCTCACGGTGGGACGTAGTTCCCCAAATGCCGCGGAAAAGGCCGTGCGAGACGCGCGCCGGCATCGTCCACGGGAGGGGGTGACTTCCTCGCTGGGGGTGCTCGGGTTATAACACCGAAACACGCCGCCTCTTCCCTGCCTCACGCGAGCCCGGGTGGTCCGCGCGCGCCGGGCGTTCTCGAAGTCGCTGGCCCTGGCGCGGGCGACCGCGACACGCGCGGTGAAAGGTTCAAGGGGGCAGCCGCGCAATCGCGGGGGCAACCTGGAAACTTGTGGGCGGCGCGGATGCTGATGCCCCACTCGCGTCAAGCCGACGTGACAGCGGGCACGCGCGAGTCGGGAGATACGAATGACGGAAGCGACGACAGCGTTCCCAGCAGCGGGCAATTCTTGCAAATCGCTCATGTACCCGTCTAGCAAACTCGCACGTAATCCTCAGCAATCTTGCAACCCCGACCACGTGCTTCAATATGCCGATGTGCTCCGTCACGTGTCCGAACAATCTCGTCAACCACCATCGCAGAATTCGTAGCAGTATCCCACGGTTTTTGTTCATACATCGTCCCTTCGTATTAAGTAGGCCATGAACGCATCCATGCAGTTTTACCCGGGTCATATTGTTTTTGGTCAGGTATTCGCGTACTCGAAGATCACGCCCGTAGAAACCACGTGGAGGCCATTGTAACCATACGGCGCCATGTTGCTGTGTTACTTTCTCCGTAAACTATAAAAAGCCCGCAACAACATCCGGAACGTTGTTCTGTGACCCTTTAAACATTTTCGGCGCCTTCCCGCCGTCGTTTTGATAGTACACAATTTCGTTCACGCGCTCTTTCCTGGCCGCGATAATCGCAAAATGTTGGTCACGATCGTCTCGTAATTGCTTTCCTTCATCTTCCTGTACTAGTATCTTGCTCAAGTTCATATTCAATGTAGGTGATGTATCCCTGAATGCCATGGCTAAATGAATATGATGGTGGTGTCCGTTCAGCTTAGGCAAGCAACAAGATATGACGGGGCCGGCCGGCCCGGGGAGGGCGCCTGGGTGGGCACGCGCGCCAAGCGGGCGGGCCGCAGTTTTTTTCTTGAGCCAACTCAGAACAGCTGCGACGACGCTGTGGGTCAGACCTGGGCGCGGGGGGATGAGTAAATCAACTCCTGGGCTCCGTGGGCTCGACGAGCCCTCGAGGGCTGTGCAGGTCTTCCCTCGGCCTGTCCTGGGGCCTGCGCTTTGCTCTTTTCAAGAAACTCCTGCAGGACTCGTGGACAAGAACACCATCATCCTCCTCTTTCCCTCGTCCTCCAGGTTGGGACCGCCAAGTCCTACCACACCATTTCCGCTTGCCTCCTCGTCCCATTTCCATATTCCTCCTCCTCCTCCTCCTCCTCCTTGTCCTCCTCTCCCTCTCTTTTCCTTCTCCTCCCGCACTTCCTCCTCCTCCTCCCCGACGACGATGATTTTGCAAAGGCGGCCTGCGGCCTGAAAAAGCCAAGCGAGTTGCCACAGAAAGTTGAGACGACCGCCGAATGCGCGGCCAGCTCAAACATTCACTTGGCACACACACACACAAACACACACACACACACACACACACACACGGGCCCGCACCGCGCCGAATGCGCGGCCGACCCAGAAATTCACCTGAAATCAGCGGGCTCGCACCGCCGACTCGTTCCCTCCGCGCGCGGGTCAGGCGCACGTCATCGTCTGGTCCCAGGAGGACACCTCCATGTTGGAGCCGTCCTCGAACATGTGGTCGTCCTGGTTCTCCATGTCCGTGAACCTGCCGCGGGGCTCGGGTCGGGCGAAAGGGGGGGGTTGCAAAGGGGGGTTTGAGAATCAGCTCACGTAGCTGATTTTCCCGGCGCCTCCCGGCGCCAGAGGCAGCTATGTATCGAGGAATGGGCCCCTCGGTGAGGCCGAAACCAGCTGCATGCAGTAAATTTCGTACCCCCCCCTTTCCCAATCCCCCCCTTTCGCCCGGCCCGAGGGGCGCGGAAGGAAGAGCGGGAGGTACTTCGCGCTGCGCGCCCCGCGATGCGCGGCGCGAGATCAGCTTCGCTCCGTGGCGCCGCCCCCTGGGAGAAAGGGCTGACGCTGTGGCCAAGACCCCACCTTGCGAGGTGCGGATGTGTTGCGCCCCCACGGAGGCCGCCGTGGTAATTCCGCGCCCCCCTCCCGGACAACCCTCCTGAGGAAATTTGAGCCTCCCTCAGAAGGGTGTTGATTACCTGGCTCCGAGGAGGGGGGGAAAGGGGAGTTGAGGAATGTCGTTCCTTGGAGGAAACCTCCGAAATGCCAGCGTGACTTCCAAACATCAGCATCACAACCCTCCCGAGGAGAATCGTTGGAAGGCTGGCGCTCTGTCTCTCCCGTCCTGAGACGTCGAAAATATGCCCCTCGTCTTGTTCCTGCAACCGCGCAGCTAGGCCGGGACTGTGCCTCGGGGTGGTGGTGGGGGGCAACAGGGCACCGATACCGCTACTAGAAAAAGAAAAAACGCCACAAACATTAACTTTTGGCTCTCCGCGCGGATTTCTCGGATCCGCGCTGGACCCCCCCTCCCTGGCGCGCGAAACGCTCAAAGGGCGGCGCCGGAGGCGCCGCTCGGGGGGGGCCCAGCGCGGATCCGAGACGTCCACGCGGAGCGCCAACAGCTCTCGTTCATGGCGCTGTTTCTCCTTCGACGCTGCTCAACAGGCCACTCCAGGGGAGCGTTTTCAGTAAGATTTCGAGGCGAAGCCACCCGTGGCGACGAGGCGAAGGTAGCAACCAGCGGTGCGCCTCCTCCCCGGAGCGGCCCGCGGGCGGCCAGGTGAGGTCTCGCAGGGGCCACGTGGTGTGCTGCGGCTGCGAGTGCGCCCGCCGGCCGCCCCGCGGGTGGAGAAGAGGGGGGAGGAGGGCGAAGGAGGAGGAGGAGGAGGCGGCGGAGGAGGAGGAGCTGGAGGAGCTGGAGGAGGAGGAGCTGGAGGCGACGAGGCGAATTCCTCCTCCGACTGACCGCCGCGCGAGGCAGGGCGAGGCGGCCCAGGGGGGGGCGAAGAGCGCGCTCTCGAGCGGCGCTCGGAGAGCGAGGCAGGCTGCTCTGCCGGCTGCTCTGCCGGCGGGGGCACGGCCGCGCAGACGGACGGAGGTCGAAGGAAAAGCAAGCCCGACCGACCATACCGTCCAGACCACCCCAACCCAACCCGAAGACCCGATTTTCGGGTTGGGGGGGGTTACGGGCTTCGGATGTGCATTGTCAGTGTTCCCCGACCCTCCTCCCACACTTGAAATGGTTGCGTGTGGAGGGTGGTGAAAGCCTGGCCGGGCAAGAACGGGGAGCGTCGCTTTGTCTGGGGCATTTGTCTGGGATGTACTCTGG